CTGAATTAGTAGTCTTACACTCTGCAGTTATTTTTCCAAGGAAATAAGGTAAAGGTGTAGAGTGGCTGAAAAGTATAAGGTGCTCTAATACGAGTAGGGTGGGGGTGGGGATGGTCAACCTATTCTTAAAGAACCTGAAGGCAGAGCAAGAAGCAATGAATTGAAATTAATCAAGGCAAAAACCAACCTAGAACTAAGGAGAAATTTCCTGACAAAACAATTAATCAATTGAACTACTTGCCTCCATAAGTTGTGGGTGCTCCAACATTGGAGATTTTTAAGGGGAGATTGCACAACCATTTGTCTGAAATGTAATAGGGTTTATAGCAGGTTGGACTAGAAGACCTCCAAGGTCCATTCCAACTCTATTATTCTGTTAAAGCTCACTACCAAGCTGGCAAGTCACAGAATGTGCCTTCCATACTTGAATTGATTACAGCATTCAACCATGCCCTCCATTGTCTATCTGGTTGATGAGAAAGATGTTAATGTTATGCATGGGTTAGGTCAATACTTTCTTGTGAAAGAGTTCTCTGAGATGCTAGGCAGGGTGGCAGTAGAGTTTCACTGAACATGAAAGTGAACGGAACCTGTGCCATGGTTTCTTCCCATTTCAGAGCTGAAAATCACACGGAGATAGACTAAGCTGTCTATCAAGACAACAGGTCTTTAATAAGCCACTCCAAATGATTTGCTTACAATGGGAGATCACATACTTTTAATAAGTAAGTAAGTAAGTAAGTAAGTAAGTATCAGGAATAGGGCCATGCTCACACAGATCTTTCACACACATTGTAATGGCAACAATTGGCAATTGTCCTTGACTAAAATCTGAAAATCACCAACCATAAGAAAATCTACCTCCAATTACAGCACAGAATGTGCCAGGGTTCAGCCACCACACCCAGTATATATTTGTGTTTCTTTCAAATAACAGTCAACCTATCAGCCAGACCACCACTAGATCAGTGCAAAGAATTCATCTGTCATAACTACTATGTAGTAATTCCCTGGATTAATGCAGGTGCTACATAAATGTTCTTGGTGGTGGAGTTCGAGAAAATAAAACATTTCTGCATAATTTTTCCAATGATTATTGATTAGTTGGCCTATCAACCACTAGTAGATAGTTAAATGCTGGGGTTTTTTTTTTTTTTTTTTTTGTTCCTCTTGGCTGCCAAATGGTGGTCATCCAGACCTTGCAGCCAAAATATAGACATTGAATAAGTATTGTATAAAAACTGATGTCTAAGAAATCACTTTACTGATTCATGAGTCAATTCAGTGTACATAAAGCATATCCAAAATGATAGGAGAAGAAAAATAAATGACTTTATGTTGAAGCCAGGTCTGTACTAGATGATATTCTAAATGGAGTGAAAAGAGAAAGCAAAATGTAGGGCTTCCCCAAGAATGATAACCAGGAACAAGAATTCCCCCACTGCATAGGCAACAGTAGTAGAAGAGCTGAGTCCTTTCAATTACAATTAAACTGGCTTGGACAGGCCAATTACAGGGTTAACAATAAGCCAACTACTCTGGGGGAGCCAGGGCTCCATTCTGTTCATCAGCTAAAACAATATTGTAGAGCAGGCACTGAACCCATAAACCAGATTGCTGATCTTCTAGGCCAATTGGAGCAGGTCATCACCTTTCACCATGTCTTCTCTTCAATGCACCATGGGTTATCCAGATGGGAGATCTTCCATTTTTCCAGATGCTTTCATGCTGGACCATGCTTGACTGGCTTCTGCTTACTTTAGTAGTAGGCTATTTGCTTACTTTGGTAGTAGGCTATCTTCTCAACATAGCTCTGTTGAGAAGACAGATCTTCAGAAAATATTAAATGGGGTATTTTTATCTGCATGTACCCTCCTAGGCTGTGTACGTGAGCCCTATGTGCTGTTGTTTATCAAAACAAGAAAACAGTGGATTTGGCAGGTATCAAAGTTTGTAAACTTTTTCCAGTTAGAATTTTATAAGATCTTTTTGAGAGAATTAATAGCTTCCAAGTGTTTTCTTTAATCAGGTAAGAGTCTTTCTACATTTATTCTGAATACTGGTCCACCTTTCTTTGCTAAACTCATCAGAGGAAGATTTGATTGCCACACAACCCCAAAGTATATTACAGCCATCCCCTATGCTTAACGGTTGGCAAAATGTTATTTTCTTTAGTACTTTGACCTTGTTTCATCAGATGTATCCTATGTAGTTGTGGCCCAACAGTTTTTGTTTCGTTTTTCTGAAGTATTTTGATCCCAAATAGTTCAGGTTTCTTGTGCTTTTCTTTGCACAATTTAGAGAATGGTTTTTGTAGTGAGGTTTCCTTCTGACAACTCTCTCATGAAGATCATTGTATAAGCAACACTGTTGTGTGGACCTAGGGATACCTACTCCAGTGTCAGGTAAAGTTTTCAGGACAGTGCTTATAGTAATGTGTAGGTTCTGTTTTGCAAGTATTTTCAGTTTGTGGTAATTCTACCAGAGATTTTTCTTGGTTTTCAAGCTATTCCATAATCAGTGAAAAAATTAAACCTAGTAAGTGGTTAGCTATTTCAACAAAATCCATCTTGAAGTACTTCTAGAAAAAACAAAAAAGGTTTTGGAATAGCTTTCATAGTTTATAAACTTGAAAATCATGTGGGGGCATTCAATGCATATGAGGAGATCTAAGAATATTTCTGAGCTAGAATTGTTCTGCAAGGAACAGTAGGGAAAATTTCTAAAAGTAAAAATATCTTGGGATGGCTGTAAAAAAAAAATATTGGAAGTTATTATCTCTGCCAAAAGAAGTGTTACAGAGTATTGACCTAAAGAATACCCAAACATCTACATTTGTCATATCCATTTACTTTGAATCTGTAAACAACTGTTCAGAAGTAGTAAGCATACATTCAAATTAGTACAAAGGAGTTGTGTTAATTTGAATAATCTAAAAGTAGTATCAGTTTCCATTCACCCAAGATATTCTGGAACAAGCAATCTGACCAGAGGTGTCTTAACTCTGGTATATAACTAGAGATTATTAGCAACTTTGAGTATTCTATAATTAGAAAGGGAAAATTTAAACAAAGAATTATATTTTAAAAAAATTACAAAAAACATTGTGTCACTGCACAGTAATTCCATGAACAACAAATAATAAGATTCATTATGCTCAATCTTGATCTGTTTCAGGCATAGTTGGCTGGACAAGTCTCAATGACCGATCTGCACACATAATGCAAATCATGGTTTATACAAGCTATGGTTTATTTACATGTTACACTGAGTTCTACCTAGGCATACTGTACCTGCAGGGCAGTTTTCTCATCCCATATAAACTTAGTTTATGCAAAACTCCTAAGGGGAATCTCTTAATAGTTTTGATGCCATGGGTTAAGGGGGATGGAGACCTTTATGATGGAACTTCTTGCCCTTCACAATTTGAAGAGGTGCAACTTTATGAGATTCCAAGAAATTACTAAAATGCAGGGTTGGTTAACAGAACCTTTGATTTATAATGACATGATCTACTTTCTTTTATTATTGGGTAATTGCGTAAAAGTGGTCATTGTAAAAAAAAAAAAAGGTCTGAAGATAATGCTTGAAAATTTTCTAGAATCTGATTGACTTACAGGTAGAATCTATAGGCAGCTAATGTCCTTCAATGCTTTTGTCAGGTGTACTATAGATTATTGGGTTGTCTATTTATAATATATTTTTTCATTTAAATATTGCTTTTATTTCTGCAGAATTAGTGCATATAATTTCAAACTCTGAACTGAGATTTTCCTGCAAGACAATAATTTTCTGATTTTTTTCCAATTACTGCAAGCGTATCACAGATGCTTGGTAACCTTTCCAAACATACTGTTAACACTTGTCATACAAATAGAGAATAATTAATTATCATGCCTAAAGTGTGACATTTTCTCCACAAAGGCCTTGGGACTTCTAGGCAAACATTTTTAACTTGTTCCTAGCAGGATACTCCAATCAAGAGCATCTGCTGTAGACAGCTATTTTAAATGACAGCATTTGATATGTGATATAAAAAAATAAAACAGGGAAACACTCTTGTACTGTAATTAGAAGAGAGTAGTACTTGGGTGGATTTCAAACACTGCAAGAAGCCATGATGCAGTTTGTTTGGTTTCGAACCCTGTCTTTGTGGTTTGTGAAGCATGGCTTATGTCTTAAGTATGTTGAATCCAAATAACTGATTTATTCAACACACCATTGTTAAACAAATCATGGGGCAATCTAGTTTCTAAACCAGGCTGTGGTTCTATTATCTGTGTCGATCCAGAGTTTCCAACTTCTGTGACCAAATATGAATTCCTAGTATTGAAAGACCCTGAGGATCCTCCTTGCTCATGTAGTCCTATGGCCATGAAGGCGAACCTATGGCACACGTGCCGAAAGTGGCACACAGAGCCATCTCTCCAGGCATGCCAGCCATCGCCCGTTGCTCTTCTGGGTTCTGGTGTGCAGATGCGCGATGGCCAGCAGGTCTTTGTGTGTGTATGTGTGTTATAAACCGGAAGACCAGGTGACCAGTGCACATGTGCGCACCGGGAGCTGCTCTTCCAGCTTCCGATGCGTGTTTCAGTACTTAGTGCCCTTTCGGCACATGCACGGTCCCATTTTGGCACTCGGTGTCGAAAACCACTTATGGGAACCAGATCCTGTATAAAACTTCAGGTTGTGTTATCCATGTTCTGATAGTAGATGAATTTATTATGTATTCTCCCCAATGTGATGCCCTCCTAATTGTGTTTGATTGCAACGCATGGAAATTTTGCCTGTGAGCATTCTGTGCTGAGTTGGAATTCTGAGAGGTGCAATCCCAATCCATCTTGAAGGGACCAGATCGTAGAAAGATGATGTCTAGCTTTTTCCAACTGTTATGAAAAGTAAACTTATGTATATTTTTGTCGCTTATGCTTTTTTTAAAAAAAAAATGTATTTGTTTTCAATTTATTTTCCATTTCTTTTCTTCTCTTGAACAGTTCCACCAAGTGAAAAGAGTGATGACCATCCTTTTCCTTACTATGGTTATTTCATACTTGAGTTGCATGAAAGCTGCCCCCATGAAGGAAGTTAGTATCAGAGGACAAGGCAGCTTGGCTTATCCTGGTCTTCGGACAAAGGGAAATCTGGAGACCCTCAGTGGGCCCAATGATGCCACCAGAGGATTAACATCTTTGGCAGACACTTTTGAACATGTCATTGAGGAGCTCCTGGACGAGCAGCAGGTCATTCAATCCAGCAAGGAAAATAAGGATGCAGACTTGTACTCATCACGGGTGATGCTAAGCAGTCAAGTGCCTTTGGAGCCTCCTCTGCTTTTCCTGCTCGAGGAGTATAAAAACTACTTGGATGCTGCAAACATGTCCATGAGGGTCCGGCGCCATTCTGACCCTGCTCGCCGTGGGGAGCTGAGTGTGTGTGACAGTACTAGCGAGTGGGTGACAGCAGCTGAAAAAAAGACTGCAGTAGACATGTCCGGAGCAACGGTTACAGTCCTGGAAAAAGTCCCAGTGCCCAAAGGCCAACTGAAGCAATATTTTTATGAGACCAAGTGCAGCACGAAGGGTTATGCAAAAGAAGGCTGTAGGGGCATAGACAAGAGGTACTGGAATTCCCAGTGCCGAACTACTCAGTCTTACGTCCGCGCTCTCACCATGGATAACAAAAAGAGAGTTGGATGGCGCTTTATAAGAATAGACACTTCCTGTGTTTGTACACTGACCATAAAAAGGGGAAGATAGTGGATTCATGTTGGATAGATTATATTGAGACAAAAATTATCTATTTGTATATATACATAACAGGGTAAATTATTCAGTAAGAAAGAAAATAATTTTATGGACTGCATGTATAAAGGAAGTTTATACAGTACCGTGGTTCCACAATCTATTTATTGAACATGTCCATGACCTAAAAGGGAACAAAAGGAAAAAAAAATTCATTTGCGCACAACAAACAAAATTGCATTACATTCCTCTAACATTGTGATTTGTTGCCGTTGCCAAGAATTGAAAACTTTAAAAAAAATTAAAAAAATAAAATTGCATGCTGCTTCAATTGTGAATTGATGATAAACTGTCCTCTTTTCGAGAAAAAAAAATTGAACCAAAACATTCCGTTTACATTTTAGACAGTAAGTATCTTTATTCCTGTTAGTATTATATCTGTTAACTGCTTTTAAATTCTGGTAGTGTTGGAATTAAAATAATGTCAAGGTGCTGTTGTCATAGTTTTCCTGTTGACCTTTTTTTAAGTTTAAAATTCCCACATGCTTTTAAAAGAGGAGAGACCCTTCTCCCTGCCATTGACATATATGTTCTGGAAAAACAAATTTGGGGTTTTTTTGATTTTGTTTTTGTATGTTGTGAAGATGTTTGCAATATCAAATCAGACTACTGGAAAAATAAAAATAAAGAAGAGGCAACTAAAAAAAAGTCAATGTTGATCTTCAGCCCAGTGCTCTTTTCTAGTCTACACTACAAGCTATCCTTCCATTTTGGTTACAGACCATGGGGATTCCTTGAATTTTGCTTGTAACAGCCTTATCCATCCTTCAGCTATATGGAGACTGCATCTCCTAGAATCCCCACTTAAAGCTGCATTGCCAGCACATCTGGAGGTCACCAGGTTGATACGTGCTGGCTTCTAAGACACTGTTTCATGTTCGGATTGCATATAGGGCTTTCTTATCTTAGGAAGCAAAAGTATCATAGTCTCTTTCAGATGTAATTTTTTTTTCCACTCCCAAGGTGTTGAGAACAAACATCATATTTCAGTCAAACATGCGAGAACCACACATACATTGATATGCATCCACTATTCTTGATGCTAGATAGTATCAAGCTTTAACAGATGCATCTATTGATGGGGATGGAGAATCGTATCCCCATAGGAGAGTCACTGGCCATGCAGCCAGAGTTGTATCAGGACAACTAATTTATTGTGATTGGAACGCCAGTATTGTTAAAGGACCGTAGTAAATCCCAACAAGGAAAAATAAACTGAGCATCTGATCACATTTGTGCAAAAATGGCTAGTATGCCATTATTGTTGTAATTACAGCACTATACAGCACTTACTGAGGGTTTATAGCTAATTGGCTTCTGTACACAATGGCAGGTGTAGTAATGTCAATTGAATAGCATGCATGGAAACTCAGTGAAACAATAAAGGAGATCCATGAGATATACACATAGTACAGCCTGATCTTAAAATAAAAGTAATATCGAGAATATTTTCATTTTCAAGTATCGGCTTTCTGTACTCTGAAACCATTCAGGCTGGAAGGAGTGGCTCTGGAATCAGACAGAGCCTTCTACCTCAAAACCTAACTACCTGTTGCTTTTAAATATGGCTATATGCATCTATGTCTTTCTAAAAGGTAGCACAAAATAGCCTTAACTCCTACAGGGAGCTTTGATTTAAAATCCCTAAACGATGGGATATAAACCTGGCATCGGTTGTATGCACTTTAATTATAGCTGATTTCAGTGGGATGCACATGCAAGGAGCTGACCACAGAATTAAAGCCTTAGGCCATGGATAATGATAAACAAATCCAACACAACCCAGAACACAAATAGTCCATTAATCTAATATATACAAGTATTCTTATTCTTGCAAGAAGTTTGAAGATTTTTTTTCCCCTAACATCCTGTCTTCATATGATCCATATATTAGAATGCACACTATTATGTCATTTAGTATCTAGCATTATTTCACAGCAACAAGGCATGCTTTCCAGGATGAATTTGTTTTGCTACACATAAATCTTTGATATGAGAAACATATAAATAGGTGAAGTTTGGACTGTATCACTTCAGACTGATGATTGAATACCTTCCCCCCCCACACACACATTCCTGAAGAATAACCTGCTTAGAAAGTCAACAAGAAGGCTAAGCAAAAGCCCTACTATTTGAATAGTTGTTTTCCTGTGAGGATGAGATAGAGAAGCCTAATTCAGTCTCTAATACAGTTTAGGCATAGATTTGGGTTGGTTTTTTTTAAGTGTTTGGATGAATGAGGCTAGCAATACTAAGATAACATTTTATTTCTTGACCAAATTCTGCAAGTTTTTTTTAATTAAGATCTTAGAATATGTCTTACTTAAAGCAACAGTAACTTAGGTAGCAGCTAAATTCCAGCTATTGGAATTGTTACTTTAATCATGGAAACCAGTCATCCCATATCATTAACATGCAAGTATAGTTACCAAAAAGAAAATGTGGACACTGACAAAATCTAAGTAAAATCTTTTTTTTTTTTAAAGAAACTAAAATAGCAAAGTTTTTTACTGGTTTCTAATATTTGAAAGATTGGTTCTGATTAAACCGTACATGCTCTCCTTAGACATTAATTTAGTATTAAAGTAAACCAATGCTATTGATCAATGACACTAAGCAGTAGATACTATTTCATTATTCAACCACCTCTGCCTAAAGTCAGGCAATCAAATGGTTGTAAAGCAAAATAGGCAGAACATCATCCTTTGTAAAGGAAGATGGAGCTGGATTACATTTTCCAGCCTATGACTATCCCTTTCTTTAACTTTTCTTTAGACCTATGATAATACCATATCATTATGAAATGGAAAAGCATCTCTGTTACAACAATCCCTATTACATAAATAAAAAGATTGTATAAAACCATTCCACGTAAGAAGTTGTTTTTCACACAACTGAGAGCAGAAATAGAAAGTCTTGTAATGTCCGAGATAGTTCCATAGCCTGATTTTCTTAGTCTATTAGCTTAAATTTTCTTTCTGTATGCTAATGTTGCATAATCCCCTTGTACTACAGTACACAGATTCAAATAATCATATTCACACACAAAAATTATTACCCTCCAACCCTGACATATGAATAATTAGGAATTACTAAAATAAGCCACCCAAATACCCTTAAGTGATGAGCAACAACTGTAGTCTGCAGTCTGAAAGAGTTAAACATAATCAAAATTGTGTATCAAATATGCTCTGCTAGTGTGACCTGTGAGGGGGAAATCTAGAATATATTTATTCTATTTATTTATTAAATTTATATGCTACCCATCTTGCTATCCACGGTGATTTTGGATAGGCATAATCTTACTCTGAATTAAAAGTGTTTAATTTTTAACAGTGAAAAGAATTGACTAAGATGGAATTAGTAATATCTAGAATTAGTTTGCATTAAAGAAATATCTATTTAATAAGAAGAGGATGATTCTATCCTTGTTTATAATAATGAACTATTACCTCCCTAATAGTTATAAAATAATAATAAAAACAATAGCAGCAACTTTTTCTTAGTATAAGATGCCTCCCAAGACATTAGAGAATAGACAATGAGACCCATAATTATATAGACTTACAAATCTTTCAAATTTAACTCTAACTTCCTCACATTGCCGCAGGGTTACCATTTTATCCAACAAGGAGGATGAGGATGAGGCTTGAAGACCACAAAATGGGAATTTAATATGAAGGTGTAGTTCATATAACTACTAGCAGTAAACACAGACTAATAGCTGCATTTGGAAATGTGCAAATAGCCACAGACTTTTAGTAGAGTACAGAAACATTAAAGAATTTGCTATGCAAAAAAAACTGGCATTTCATGAATTAAGTTTCCAAAACATTGCAATTATTTTTAAGCTCTTCCTCCCCTCCCAGACCCATCACTATTTTTTAACACCCATGGTTATGCTAGGCCAGTCCTACTATTGCAAAATACACTACAACAGGCTTGGCAGTTTTAGTGGAACTGAGATTTCAAAAATGTCAGTCAGTTGACGTTTTGCTGTGTTTTGTCTGTGGCGGAAATATTTCATTGTCATTGGCCCTATTGTTTTGTTTTGAAAAAAAAATTGGAAATGTAACTTAATGTTTGTGGCCTTGTTCTCTCTTATTCTCCATGTATAACAGATATTTATTGTATATTTATATAATTTTATGGGACTTTTTTGGAAAAAATGAATCTGGCATTAAATCTTACAAGATCTGCATCACATTGTAAATATAATTAAGCTATATTTAAATGTACTGATTAACATATAATATATGTTTAAATATAGATGTTTATGTTTTTAAATATCACATATATATATGTATATATATATATGTATATGTGTGTGTGTGTGTGTGTGTGTACATACACACATACATATATATACACATATACATAGATATATATGTAGACAAAAATACCCTTGGCTTTTTGGGACCATGTGACTTTTCTCTAATTGTAAACCAAACATGAGTTTTACAAAGAATATGTGTGTTCTTTTTTCCCGAAACAAAATCTACTTTTATTTTAACAATAAAATCTTCTTGGTAAGGCAGTTAGGCAGCTGTTTCATATTTGGACAAATTGGCAAATGGGGAGGGTATTTCAAGTGGTTGAAAGGAAAGGAAAGCAAAGAAAAGACTAATTCCCAGAATTAGGCCTTTTTATTTAGCTGAAACAATAAAGACTAAGCAACTTTGAACTGGGCCCAGTAGCTTTTATTCACTTTTAAAATAATGGCTAAACATACATTTATAATTTTCAGATAAAATAATTGAAACACAGCACAAATGAATTTTGCGTGGATGCCCTAATTTCATGTGTGCAGCACACATGCAATGTCCTGAACGCACACATGCTACTTCGTACAATTAAGGGTGATTCTAACTCGTATGTGTAAATCCATTCTTTATTGCACAAAGCAGTGCCTACAATTTAAGCAAAAGGGACAATAATTAGCAGACAGATCAGAAACTTGTTTTATCAGAATGGGTCATTACAGAAAAATACATAAATTTCTTTTGAAGCTCATCATTTCAGAATGCAGAATCCTCTCTTTGAAAGTTTCTCCTACATCTGAAACTCTCTATAAAAAAAGGTAATATGTTAGAAACAATGACATGGATCTAGATTTAAGCCATATCCCTACTAGCATTTTACTGTATTTGCATGGTATCACTTCATCATCCTTAAAATGATATAAAGTCTGTCCTCCTTAGTGTTACAAAAGGAAGCTATGACAATCTTGGAGAAATGTGCAGAGGTCTGAAATTGATCTGTGGAATCCATGGGAATCGTGACTGTGTGCCATATATTTTAGAGAGATTACTTTATGATAGTGATTCTTGACCTTGGCAACCATAAGAATTCAGTTCCCAGAATTCCCCAGCCAACAGGACTTGATCAAACCCAGTAGTTCCAAATTTCCCTCCGCCAGATGTGAGGCTGCTGATTTGTACACAAGCAATTTGCCAACCAACAGTCTGAAGTGGTACAATCTTAAAGATTTAAAGCAGGGGTGTCCAACCTTGGCAACTTTAAGACTTGTTGTTTAAGACTTTGCTGGCTGAGGAATTCTGGGAGTTGAAGTCCACAAGTCTTAAAGTTGCCAAGGTTGGACACCC